AAAATAAGTTCAATGATAACATTGAAATATTTACCGGTATCTGGAAAATATGCATCAGCTGAAAGACATTGCCAGGAAAGAGTAAATATTGTGGTTTTATAGTTGGATTTTAAGACATACAGTAAACTGCACCAATTTGTTTTCATTTTCTAGGCAGATTTTGCAAAGCTAGGACGTCCAGCAGTAAAATTAAACAATTCTGCGGCAGATTCCATAATTGGTTTTTCTGCATGATAAAAAAAAAGATACTAAACATTTACCCTTAATGTATATTTAGTATGTTAGCCTTTGTTTTGTTATGTTTGTGTTGAAAATAGAAGTATAGTAGGGATTCCTTCTGTGTCACTTTCCACACAGCAGTTAAATCACTATATCTGCAACCGTCTTAACTATTTACACTAGTGCTTAGCATAAAATTTTTATGATAGCAAATTCAATATTTTGAGTTAAATATTAAGCAGTTCAAACTGTTTGCCAAATTATGAATAATTGTCACCAACTTAGTTTTTTCTTTATTTTTGAATGTATATAATATTTTTAACAATTCCAAACACTGGACATTGTTTTCCAAAAGTAACTTCATCACAGAAAGCTTTAAACTTGACAGATGATTGCATGAATCGAGGTGTTAAAGGAATACTTGAATATTTATATATCAGGATTAGAGGCCAATCTCATGGTGGGCTGATGTGATTCTGGCTGTCTGTCTTCCTCCCATCCTAAGCCCCTGTTTTTTTTTCAGGAAGAGAGCAATAAAGGGATTTGGTGTGTCCAAGATTCACAATGAGACTTCTCATGAAACCTCTGGAACTGAAAAACCAAATCCCCCTCTCCCTTTATACGTTAACAGCTTTACAGCAGAAATCCACATTGGCAGCAATGAGCCCTCCATAAATTGTCAATATGATTAGCTCAAGAAAAGGAGATGTGCTATTTATTCTGGACTTTGACTTGGGTTAAATCTCAAAACTGAACCGAGATGGGGCAGGCATAGAGGATAGTTCTCCATCAGATGAAAAGGGAGGGTAGAGAGGGTAACTGCCGTGACAGAGAATGTGAGCACTTGTGCAGTCATGTTAATCAATGAGAGCTGTTCCACATCCACCACTACTCCTCTGAACAAGATCCAACAGGAAAATGAAGGTTGAGAAGATCCGGTTTGTCAAAGTAAAATATAGTAACAACAAATCGGTAGCTAAAAGTGGAGTCAAAAGTACACACATTTGTTACTTAAGTAGAAGTATAGATACTGCAGTTTAAAAACAGTCTGGTAAAAGTTGAAGTATCAACTCAACCTCTTTAATTAAGTAAAAGTGAAAAAGTATGCTCTCCAAAAACTACTTAAAGTATAAAAGTATGAAGTAACCTTAAAAAAAAACAACAAAAAAAACAGCCAGATGCTCAATTTTTCGACTATTTTGAAAAATTATTTGAGATTGGGCCAAGGATGAGGGAGGTCTTGTTAGTCTCCATCTCCCGATACGCTCTTGCCTGTGTCCGACCTTTCAGACATTTTGACATCTTTTTCTGAATCCTACATTGTAGCATGGCATAGACAATTCACTTTTGCAGTTTGAAGAACACCTGCTTGCTTCTGATGATTTCCTTTAGCTAACCAATGAGTGTTTGCGTTATATGGCTCATCCAATCCAATTAACTAGACTACTTTGGCTCTGTTTTTTGTTGTTAGTATGGTTGTTTTAAAAGGATGTCTAAGATAGTTATTTTGGAGGAGTGGAGATGATGTCTGCCACTGGCATCCGAGCAGAACTGATGGCTGAGCATAAATTACTTTACAACGTCGATATTGAGTGTTTGGGTTTTTCATTTTTCATAAGTGCTTATATACTATTGTATTGAAATACAAGCAGACTGAGCAAATTGAGTTTGATTAACCAGTCTTTTGGATATTACTTGTCTCAGCTTTCTCCTCCACACTTAATGATTAACACATTCATCTCTAACTGATAACCTCAAAATCAAGCTGTAGACTTTGCTATTTTGTCATGGAAGAAAACTGGGTTATGCATTGATTCCAATCTAACAACATCACTCTTTGTTAAAAGCTGCATTCTTCATCACTTTTGGCTTATTTTTCTCGGGTTTAAACATGGCAATATCTTTTCTTATTTGTGGTTTGTTTATTAGAAGTCAAATGCAAACAGCAGCAGATTTGAGCTTAAATTTAATTATAATGAAAATTGGGTACTTTCAGACAGCAAGGAAAACACATAGGTGGAAGCATCATTAGAATCCAACAATAAGATAAATTTACCAAGGAACTTAATGTTAAGGAGGAGTCATAAGTGACACAGAGAGCAGATGAGTGCAGAAAGAGCAACTAGTTGAGAATCTATAAATCTATAAATCTACATAGGACTGCATCTTCTAGTATTATCAACAGGTGGGGTTTGGAGCTATTATTCAAATACTTTTAACAACAGCTAAAATTGTCAGATTATAAAAATGCTTTTAAAAAGGTCATACGATTATTTCATAAAAATGTATTATAATGGAAATAACAATTTAACATAATTTATCTCACAATGTAGAAATTCACTTCTGCATCTTAACCAATCCCCTTAAGGAACAGTGAGCTTCCACTGTGTAGTACCTGGGGAGTAATCAGTGGTTAAGGGTCCTACTCAGGGACCCAGAGTGCAGGTTGTATGGATCGAACCAGGAACTTGCAACCTTCTCAGAGCACAAGCACACTGCTCTAACCACTAGGATAACGCTCCCACACTACTATCACACATCAGTAAGCAGCAATAACGTTTGAAAAATAAAAGACTGTTGCCTGAATCTGTTTGAGTTTCACATCAGGTCAGTAAAAAGCCTGAGGCACTTTGTACTGTAAAAGCTTAGGGGTTGGTTATGAATTATTACCAAAAAAAGTTACAACACAACCGTATTCTCTTACTGGGTGTCTGTTTATTTGTCATTAAAGTGAGATAAAAGAGGAAATCTCATTTTAAGGACTTTTTTTTTGTAGCAGTTGTGTTAATCTTACTACACTGAATATGTATAAAGGAACCAACTTAATTTATCTTGTGAAAAACATAATACCTCAACAAACTAATGATCTAATGTAAATAAATGCCATCAACTCACACTGACAGCATCTTAATGATAATTGTAAAATGATAAATGATTAAAGTAGTATCTGTACCTGTAGTTGGTGAATCAGCTTAAGGCAAAAAATATATCTAAATGAAAATAAAATAAATTCAGGCTTACAATAGAGACTTTTCTTCACTTTAATGCAGCCTGTAAATCTCTTACCTATTTGGAAGTGCAATTTGTAAAGACCTGATAAGCTAGCTTAAGATGTACTACTATATTGTATTAGGTACTGATGAATTGTGTTAGATAAACAAAACTACCCATAAATTTAGAAAACAGTCCTGTTTGAATATTTCATAGAAAAAAAATAAAAATAAGGTAAATTAAGCTCCAAGCATATCGCTCCCTATAATTCTATAAACAATACAAGGTATTCGGTATTTGAAAATGATAAAACATAAGGACATTTTCTGAAACATTGAACACCATCATGTTTATACAATTTGTGTGTTTTCCACGCTCAGTTAATCTAGCTATCTCAGGCTTAAGGTTAAATATTCTATCTAGTATATAGGTTCCCCAAGTGGTTAAACACTTATTAGATAACATAACATGAAAACAAACCAGACATGCAACCATGTTGACAAAACTTCAAGCATTGAGCATGTGAAGGTGAGTGTGTCTTCTTTAGTGCATACAAACTCAATATACGATATTTAATTAAATAAGTTAATGTTATCAGATCATGGCTACTAAATTTGTGGATCATTCATGGTAATCTAGGGGTAGTGCCTGGTGTGTTATATGTGGCATTACTGAGAAGCCTCCTTCACATGTTATTTAAAAGTCAATCAGACAGGTGCAGCTGATTCAAAACTGTTCTCTCCAGAACTAAGAAAGTAGAGCACATCAGCCTGGTTCTGAACCTCCCAGGCCACTCAGGTCTTCCACTTTAAGCCTACTCTGTAAACCCAGAACTTGAACCAAACATGGAGAAGGAGCATTCAGTTCCTATACTCCACTTGTCTGGAACTAACTCCCAGACTGTGCAATTTGTTTGTCTTACTCATGTTTCTACTGTACCATTATTTTTCTTATATTTTATAATCTATTTTACGTAAAGCACGTTGAATTGTCCATGTCATGTGCTATAAGAATAAACAGGCTCGTATTGGTAATCTGTGATACAGAGCATTTGCCGGCTTTCCTTAAATCATACCGGCCCCAACACTTAATCTCCAGCCGAAGCACCTACCTGTGAGAGTAAATAACTCCAGGAGCTGAAGACATAATGCAATGTTAACTACCTAAATGATGCATGCAGTATATATAGCCCTGCTTTGTCATGCACATCCTTGTGATGGTTGGCATATGGTGTAATTATCTATTTCTTCAAACTGTAAAATCCTTGCAATAAACAAGATTATAATAGAACTAAAATAGAAATGATATTTCGCGAATTTATGTTTGAATATTTTGCAAAAATATGTTGGGTGCATGATGGGGTTTAGCATCTAAAGGCTAACGTTTCCCGTCTTATGTGCATTGTTGCCAGGTTGGGATGTTTCCCACCTGTCAGTTTAGGATGCAAGTGTGGATGTTACGCAGCAGCAGTCACTGTTGCGTCCGTGTTAATAGCCAAAGCCAGTAAAACCACATTAAAGAAGTGTTGGTGATGGTTGTGGTGTGATGCTCGGAGATAGATTGTTTAATCCACAATGTGTATTCATGATGTGTTTCACATTTGAGATTGACTGTTTGACTTTGACAGATGGAAAAATGCCAGGGCCGAAAATCGTTCCCAGTTCGAGCCTGCAAATAAACCTGCCTTGCCCAAAATTTATTTTAAAGACATTTTTCAATAAAAACTTATAGAATGTTATATTTTAGCTTGATAGAAAGATCTATGAAAAAAATCTGCAAAAAGAACTGACCTCTGAGAACCTTTGAACATCTTGGGTGAGGGTCCCCACGCGACTCCAATTGTAGTAGTTGAGAAACTTGACCACAGCTGGGTTTACGGCATTGTCTGATGGGACTGTGCGGAAGAAGTTGGGGTACTTTTTCTTGTCTGCCAGAACCGGGGTTGTCGCTGCAAATGACAGCTGTAATGACAGAGGATGACAAAAATACAGTTAGGAGAGAAGCCTTCTTATAGAGGTGAATACAACTTTGATAGGATCCTGCTTTATGAGCTGCTTTTTTTGTGATACTTGTGTTTTTTAGTATGTACCTAAAAATCTTAATAAATAACAATCATGCATCTCTTTCTTTGGTATAAGTGATTAATCACATTATTAATGAAACACAGAGAAATATTTGCCTCCTTTATTGTACTGCAAGTCTAAACAAAACACATCTTCCCATTTACTTCAAATAACATTCAAATTATCTGTCACAAAATATTAGTAAACAGTCTAATCCCGACTTTAAAGTCCAATGTGTTTGTCAGCCTTATAGTTCTTTTGATGCAAAATCTTCACATCTGTTAGTGTTGTAACATTGCACCATTCTTTTGCTTTTGTGCTCTAAAATGTAGGGATAAGAAACTCATTTAGATGATTCATTCCTTGGTCGGTGAATAACAAGCATATTTTTTTTATCCAAAAAGTTGATTGTTCAGATGCATATACAACTGCACACAAGTACAATCAACCATAAAGTGTGCTAAGTCCTACAACACTAATTGGCTTCTAACCACGGTTGGAACTGAAGCATATATAAAGGAAAAGTTCTGTAAATAATTCTTACTATAGCACAAAACAATGATAAATGATTTCTATTTTTATACTATGAGTAATATTTTTTATTACCGTAGATTTTTTTAAGTTTTAAAAACAAAAAATCCCATTCAGAATAAACTCAATTAGTCACAGATACTAGAAAGGTTTGAGCATGAAACATAGATATAAGAACAGAGAGAGTGCACATTTACAAAGAAATCATGCAGACAAAAATGTGCTACTGTAATCTAAAAGGTGTAAAAAAAATTTCCAATTGTCTATTGCTGCTCTGTAAAGCAAAAGTCTTTCTTTCTGTGCAAGACTGTCCATTACCAACCAGATATCATAGTTTGATTTTTCAGTCTGTACAAAAATTAAAATATACAGTTAAGCCAAGGATTATTCATAACAATTGCATACTTCTTTTCTTTCAGCTATGCATTTTTATACAAATAGAATCTAAAAGGTTATTTATATCCTTTTCAGACAATAGAAATATTTCACATTATACTAATTGCATTACAGCAAGTAAACCCTTCTTATAGTTTTGGTACAGATTTCGGCACGTTTCCACTTGCACTTTGACAGTTTAAAGGTAAGAAGCCCTCGCTGCAATTACCCTAATATTTAGGTCTTTCAAAATATTTTCTTTCAGATGCTAATTGAGACTCTGGCTTTGCCAATCCAAACTTTAACATTTCTTCCAGTCAAAGGAAATATCTTAGTGAAATCAATCCTTTATATGCCAAGGAAATACATATTTTTGGGCTTAACCATCACAGGTAATAAATATACAGATGATACTTGGAAAATTGACTGCACTTGGGTAATTAAAGTGTTCAGCTGTGACAGATCTGGGAAAATATTACACCAAAAACTGTTAAGAAACAGAAGAAAAATAGTCCAGTTTCTGAAAACATGCGATCACATGGAGGAAACATTGCACTGCTGAAGGACTTTTATAGGTTACATATAATAATATACACTTGACTAAAAAAATGACCCTAGCTTCTCATGGTATAACACAAAATAAATTAAATATTTGTTTCACTCTCAGCCACTCAATGTGATTTCAATATGTGAAGCAGCTGAGAAAACATTACAGATGAGAAATATTAGTCAGCAGTTCTCCATGTTACTACACCATGTAGTGTGCTTAATTCGTCAACATGTGGAATGCTTTAGTACCTTCCGAAAGTGGATATTTTTCACATTCTGCCAAAATTATTAAAAAGTTTGTGTCAAAATATAAGATATTACCAAATGTGATACCCTTATGTTCAATGTTAAAGGGTAAAAACTTCAATAGAAGTGAATAATTTGACTCTCTAAGTACTGTATCATATGCACTTTTTCTTCAAGGTGTATAAATGATGCATAAATGAAAACAAATATGCTGAACTGGGTCTGTTTAGAAACTCATCTTAAAACTATATTCTTCATAAAATAAAGAGCATCACAGATAACCTTGATCTTCTTCATCAGGCTGAGTGCAAGACCAGGGCAGCTGGAAGCAATTTTGAAGAGGGTGTGCTGAGAATTTATAACCTATAACCCTGTAGGCCTATTTAAAATACAATAAATAAAGATAAATAAATAGTGGGAGATTCACTACTCTATTGTCATATACACTTCAGTGCACGCAATCAGGGTCTGTAACACACATACATCATTAATCAGTTCTCAGGTGAATATATGCCCCATTAATTACACTTCACAATACAAAAAATTTCAGTGGCTTTACGCCAATTTGAAAAGCCGGCATTCACAAAGGGTTGTCTTTCTTAAATTTTTCTCTAGGTATGACTTTCAGACAAACAAAACACAAAATATAATCTGTGTCTTCCACATATTGCAGCCACTGCTATGTAGCAAACCAGGCCAGTGCCACAGAATGTGAGAACGTTTCATTACCATAACGCCGTGCAGGAAATTTGAAACTGGATGTTGGCTGGAAGGGCTTCCAGCTGCCGTTGCAACTCTGCCATCAGAGGTGCGCTGACAGTCTCCTCACTTTTCATTGCCATAGTTGAGGTATTTGTTTTATTCTCCACCAAATTTACTAGTCTGCTGCCTCGAGCAGGACACCGCGGCGACCACTAGTTTGCTTGACATTGCCATAACAACGTAACTTCCATGCAATGGTATTGATTAGGCCTCAAAATAATTAAATTAAAATCCAAATACATGCAATAGTAAAATAGAAAAATTAAAAATCAGTTCCTAAAACTTATAAATTGTGCAAAGTATTTTTAATACATATTAAAAAGTCTCCCTTACACCACTAGGGGGTCTGACAGACTGTCTTCCGTCAGAAGCTTCTCCAGAGCAATTGTAAGATGGACCACTACAGGAGATTCTTTTTGCCTACAGCCATCAGCATCTACAAAAACTCTTTGAAGAAACCTTCATAATATGACAACAGCTGACTTCCCTTTGGGAATCATGTATTTAGGAATTTTGAATTGAAGTGGGAAAAAAATGTTTTGCTATCTGAAAGATGCAATTTTCACTAAATTTTGGAAAATGACAATAACATTCTTCACAGGGTTGTGAGATCAAAATGAAAGGTGCTTACAGAAGTTTTCTTCTACTACTATTTTAAACTGTCTTAGTTAAAATGACCAGACAAAGAAGAGGATAGCTTAATATTACAAACACATGAAATGAAACTCCCCAGTTTATTCACTTTTTTATACAAATATTAGATCGACAAACTGCCATCACAAGACTGTGAAAATATAAGCTCATAGAAGTCTGCACTCCTTCTTCTGTCATTTACACTGATTCTGAAAAGGTCATGAAAACCACATGGAGATTATCTGAGGTCATTGTAATGCTGCGGGTTTTGTGTAGACATACTTGAAGTAGCTGAAGCTCACAGGGGATCAGTTTGAATTGCGAGTCCAATTTGTTTCAAACACTGTAACATCAAACTCATACATTAAGTGTATTTTCAGTAAGTCAAAGGTAATACTATTCATTTTTATTTTGTTTTTTAAACAAATGACTACATTTAAAAATTCTCTATGTAGAAAGCAGGCACTTGTACAGTATGTTCTACCTTGAAAAAGGCTTGGAAGATACCTAAAGTCATGATTATGGTCTTCATAATGCTGTTTGTTTACTAAAGCTCTCAAAAAAATGTAAAGCTCCACACAGCATCTGTATTTACACTGAGCTTGATTTACTCTCATGGTTTACCCTATTCAGTAATTAAAAAGACAAGTCAATAGAGAGCACTGGATTGCATAGGTTTTAAATGTGGCTTAAGGTGGATGTGTACCTTTTTTAAATTGTAAAGAAAATGAAAAGTTATCTTTCGTTTTCATTCCATTTTATAGCTTCATCCTATTTTTTTATTTTTTTTTGTCTATCACCGAAAATCCTGATACATTACTTTAAGCCTGTGGTTGTAACTAGGACTTGGAGTCAGTTACATTTGCAGAATAGTTGCATTTTAATAAAAGTCATTCAACATTTGGCAAATTACATTCACTCCAGCCATTTAGGTGGCAGTAATTCAGTTTTGGTAGAGTCTGTAAATGGAGGAATAGGTTTTTGAGGCCTTGCTGCCTTTGAAGGGCTGCCTTCCAAACAACTTACCAGAAGTACCCATACGCTTACGCTGTAAGCACCTTTCCATTCAACAGTCAACAGTTAATGCTCAATAGTCAAGTCTTGCAACAATGGACTCTGGATAAGCACACATTCATTTTCATGAAGACAATGAATCCCTTTAAAGAAAAATGTACATGCTTGTCATGCAAAGAATAATTAAATGTAAAACGGAAAAAACAATATTTGTAAAAAAATAAAATAAAAATTAAGGCTGATTTTTGGCCAAATCTCTCTGCCTTGAAACAAAAAAAAGTTAGAGAAGTTGAAGCACCGTGAATACATCTGTAAAGCACCATAAGCCAGTCCAAATCACTTTAACAGATGTGTTTTATCCATGAAATGCAAAACCCCAAATTTGCTCATACCAGTCGGATTTGTGTTCACACATTGACAACACAGCTTTATAAGACATTTAATGGTTTAGAGCCAACAATTAAACATAAGATTTGCAGTCACCTCTGCTAAACCAAAGATTTCTCACTAATCTAACTTGGTAGTCTTTCCATCTCCATTGAACTGATTCCAATGTGGTCTTGGACATGGTAAGAGAAGCCTCTATGACTGTCTAATAAGAGCAGGTGATAGTCCTAAATAGAGATGATTAAAGTTGTTCTCTAAAAACTGAGATGAACTTCATAGAGTTGGCCAAATAATCTACTTAAAGACTAATTAATAAACAAACATAAATTGGAGATCTCTGGCTGTAGCATGATATGTATAAATTATAGATTATACAGGGCTGTGTTTAAGTATGAGCATGA